TACAGAAGAAGGCATGGAGTGACGAGATGAGAAAATCCATGCTGGTATATCAGATAATTATGGATTTAGAGCAGACAGAATTTTTAAAGATTTATTTGTTTGTTTGTGGTATTAGTGATTGAATCTAAGGCCTTCACACTAAGCTACATTTCTAGCCCTTTTTTACTTTTTTATTCTAAGAGAGGGTCTCCCTAAGTGGCTAAATTGGCCAGGTTGGGCTTGAACTCGCAATTTTCCTTCTTCAGCTTCTAAAGGGCTGGCATGTAAAAGAAATAAAATATGCAGACAGTAAAATGACCACACAGCAGTGATAATATTTTCTGCAAGGGTTTTTCATTCTTTAATTCTAATTTCACAAAGACATAATCTTGAGAATTAAATTTTCATACTAAACTTCATTTTAAAAAATTGGCAGAATTTGGCTGTATTCATTCATTGCAATATTCAGTTCAGAAAGCATTCAAAATATTTTTCATCAAAGCCTAGTTCCACTTCTATCATTTAAATCGTACCAATTTCTCAGGTGCATAGACAGTGTAAAAAGTTACTAAAACTTGGGTATGTATCCAGAAAAAGAGATGCTACAACTACAAGTGGGCTCTTCTTTAAGTCATGTCATTCAGTGCAGAGTCAAAATGATGCATTATATATTTTGTTTTGAAACAAAAATTTATGTTCATTTCTATTTATACAGGTAGATATAGTGCTCCAAAAATAGTTTGTTATATAAAACCCTTCATAATTATTAGTGATTAATTAAAAATACATGTTCTTACTTATATATGAAAATAGGGTGCCTAGTAAAAACAGTTCAGAGATAATGGGAAGGCTCATTTTCCCAGGAGAACATCGCACTATTTGTTGTTTTATGCTAACACTTTTCCAATAAGATATTCTACATCTATTGGTTAATAGATATTGAATAAAGAGGTACACATAGGAATAATGATTCCAATATTCTATTGCACATTAAAGGAGGATGATTATAATTAAAAATATTATATATTTGAAAATATTTAGTAGAGGAGCTTATAAATTGCCACCCCACAAAGAACTGATAGATGCATGACATGACTGGTGTACTAACTACCCTGATTTAATCATTACCTGCTATATGTATGTATTGAAACATCACATTATACCTGATTAAAATATGCAGTATACATATACAAAATGACAAAAAATTAGATAAGAGGCAAAGTGATTCATTTGAAGAAGACTTGACTTATATTTAGAAAATATAGGTTCAATGAGTAGTTTTGCCATTCATTAGCTAACATTAGATACTGAAAATTTGTTAGACGTTTTACTGGAAACAATACAGTTTATATAATTTATTTTTCACTACTTTGAAGGATATTTTAATGACATTTCATTTTGCTTTTGGAAATCCAAGTGAGGATACTTTCCTCAGTTCATTTTTTGGAGGTAGATATGGGGTGCAAACCTAGATCTATTTTATTTAAGAGCAACTTCTTGATTGTTACCTGTCCTTCAAAGGGATAACAATTGTACAAATGAGGTACAGCTTTTACAGCATCCCTCTTAAATCATCATCTCTGCCTAATGAAAGTACCCTCCTGATGACATGTGGGAAATAAAAGGATTGTTTCAGACTCATTTATGGATCTCCCCAATGGCTTGTGTGCATCCATGCTGTTCCTAACTTCACTGGGGCCTTACTCTTCTGCTCTTCCTTCCATTCTTCCTTCATGCTGTCTACCCTAACTCCTCCTGCCTACCAGTCCTTTCAGCAGAAGGCCCTCCTTTTGCATCGCATAGGCCTTGAGAGAGGAAGAGAAAGTGAGGAGGCCACATTTGTCTTTTCCATCCCATCCCAGTCACCATCACTGAAGGATGGGCAGACATGTTAGGTTTTCCTGAAGGGTTGGAGGTAAAGGAAATGTATAGCACATTTCAAACTGTTTGCTAAATAGTGCTGTTTCCTTATTCAAATGGTAAAGTACAAGAAGGATAAACCCCATGTAGAGAATTTTCTTGTGGACTCAACTGAGCTCCTAGCCATGCTCCACTGCTAAGCCCTCCTGCCTCTCAAAGAAACCTCTTCCTCACAGCTCAGTTTACATCTCTCCCTCTCCCTACTTTGGGAAGCTCTGCCTTCTACTCACATAATTGAGCTGATCTCTTTCTTATTCATGCCCACTGCCTAGGTAATTTGGGAAATTCAGTACATCTCAAATAACATACACCTTAAGCATCACTTATTTGATGGAAGTAATCATGTGGGGAATTTCAGCAGGGTGAGTCCAGCTGGCCTTTTGCAGTTCAAGTACAATAATGTATCCTAGTTGTAGAGTTTGGCATTTTAACCCCAAGTTGGGTTCTCAAGTGGTCTCCTTACTTGTATAAGATGCAAGCATATCCTTTCATTTCTTCTAGTTCTCAAATGAATTACTTAAATAAAACACAGATATTCACATATATCTATCTCACATATATTGAAATCTGAAAAACAGCACAGTAAAACTGTATGCAGTATTTTTCTTCACTTATTTTGAAGCATATTTAATAGGCCAGAATGGAATACATATGCAGTAGCAAAAAGGAGATATTAAAAACTTGGCAGGAGGAGGAATTACTTACACTGAAATTTTTCTGTTGAATTTTATACTCTTTTACCATAGAAATCTTCTGCCATCTAATTAGAGAAATGGTAAATAATGAACAATAAAGCCATCACAATTTCTTTGTGAATAAATTATTTCTAAAGATTTTTTCTTTTGTTTTTTAGGAATGTTCGCTAAATTGAGTTTTAAGGTTTTTGATTTTAATCATATAAAATTTGTTTCAAAATTCCTAGTTTTATGTGGTTATTAAGATGAGGAATATATTAGATTTTATTTAACTACTTTGGAAATAAGATTAATTCCCACTGGCACTAATTCATTCAATGGGGTGAAATAATTTGGTGAATCTATATGAACTGAGAGTAATGTGACATAGAAGAAAGAGGATACATTATCAATTCTTTTTTAAGACATGGGCCATATGACATTATGTAAAACTTTATTCATCATACTCTACATTATATAGTTATTTTCATATATATTTTATTTTTTATTATAAAGTGAGCAACTTGGTGTGAGAGACAGGTATAATGTGCTGTAGTTGAGAAGCTTTTGGTAAATATTTGGTTTTTCATTCTCTATTTTTGTACTGAAGGCATGGTTGTTTAAAAAAAGATGAAGGATAGCCATTTTAAATTAAACTAAAAAGAAACAGGTGAAATTATTTAATTTTAATAACATGTTTCTTATACTCAAAATATGATTTCAAGAGGTAATGAATATATAATTGTTGATATATTCATACTCTTTTTTATGTTGTCTTCAACATCAGTGTGTATTTTATATTGAAAGCATATCTCGATTCAAACTGTCCACATTGTGACAAAGCATTTAGAAAGAGTTGGTAGAGGATGAAGAAACCTAGGCTCTGTAGTATCCAATATAATTATTGTCCTTAGTCACAGGTGGTTATTTCGACAGTCCAAATTGCTAATGTGTACTGACATGGAATCTCATCAATTGCATTTAAATATTATTTTTGGATAAAGCAAATACATATTTTATAGTTTAGTAACTAGATAATGAATTTTACTTGTTTTCTGTAGCTTATTTATTATGGTTACTAAAAACTTTAAAAGTTTAAGATTCAAAGTCACTTGTGTGGCTGGTTTTGTTTCTCATATTGTATTTGTATTGAACAAAGCCCTGGATTTTTCCTGGAATTGACCTTTTATAAAAAAAAGGTCTTTCCTGGAAGAATAGCTTCACATACTGGAAAACATGAAATGACAACTATTTTCTCCCTCTCAGTTTACTTTTAACCTACTTATCCATAGAATTATGAAAATGTTTATTTCTTTGCTTTTAAATTAGAGCCACCAACTGTTCTTGTAAGTTTTGGTAACAGGAGAAATAATAGTTCATTTGCTCAGTTAATGAGATTATAAAATAATTCACACAACACAAATACTATATTTTTTAGGAAATATTATTTTAGTCCTTATGCCAATTTGTATATAAGATTATTTAAAATATTATCCTCTCAAAATATTTTTGTTCTATTTGTTGATCTACTTTATTTCAGAAAGCCAGATGGCTTAAGTTTTATCTTTGAACCCCGGTGACATACTAAGTCAGAGTGCAGGGGTGGTCACTACTGTAAACAGCAATTTGCTGTCTTGACTCACAGGTGATGGACAAAAACTATTTCTGAGAACTAGCTGACATGAATTGTACAAAAATGCCTGCCTGTATTCTTCTCTCTCATACCATTTAAACTATTTTAACATGTTAAAAGATCTTTCTTTTACTTTATTTGTCAAGACATGTTTTCCTAAAATTAAATAATTTTGATGATGGCTAAGACAATTTACCAGTTAAAGTGTTGGGTTTCTGATAGTAAGTAACTAATTTGCTAAGGATGCTTTGCTCATTTCCTTGCAATTAAGGTGTTTCATAAATGTAATTAGATAATAATTGGGATATAATCATATCAGTAAACAGAAACTCAATCTCTGGTCTCAACATGGTTTCTCTTTTAAACAGCTTTGTAGAGAGAGACCTTCCACTCATGATAGAGCTGAATTCCTATAGCAACATTTCTCACCCAAGGAGCTAGTGACATTTGGGAAAAACAGTTGATCATTTTGTATTCTCCTACTCATTGCAGGACCTTAACCCCTCCTGCCTCTACTTACTAAATGACAGTAGCAAGTACCTCATTCTCCTTCCTTCCTAGTCAGGAAAACCCTCCTCATCTCCAGAAACCAGCTGGGCAGTATCATTCCAGTAAGCAACCTCTTATCCAGTTCTGTTGTTATTTCTCTCATTATCTTTTAATTTATAATTTCCTATATTAAAAAACCTTAGTGTTTATTGTAAAAATGCTATATGCTGAGCACTATTCTAAGAGCAAAAGCTTATTTACTCCTCTACACAATGCTCTATGTTTCATCCTACTGTTATTTTATAGGTAAGGAAAATGGAGAGGAGGGAGGTGAAGTAACCTGTCCAATGGGACCAACTAGAAGGGTCCAAGGTAAGTTAGGAACTTTGGACTGTGGGTAAGTTAGCCCACACTTTTGAACACTCTTTTATTTATGTATTCTTAAGACGAAAAGTATTAAGAAAGGAAAATCTAAGCACTTTTATCTTTTTCTTTTGTTAAGGTTCTATTCAAATTTTCACTCGCATGTGCTCTTGTATGCCCTTTTCCACATGTGGAAAGAAAAGATTAATTTTTAAAAGTTGCCATCCACGTTCAGTCCCACTTTTAGAAATGCATTTTCTCATGAATATATTTTGTTTCTTTATTATTTTATATTATACCACAAAAGCACTTTCAGGCATTTCACCATCTGTAAAATATTATGATTTCAGATGTCCTGGGGCAGAACCTACTTGAGATATAGCTAGAGTTTGTATTTGGTTAGAGAAATTTGCTAAGCTTGCTTTTAAATGTAATCCACTACTTTTAATTTTTACCATGTAAAAATCAACAAATCTTTAGATTTGTACAAGAATTTGATACTATTTGTATCCAGAGAAACAAAATCACGGACACTTTTACTTAAGGAAGTACATTAACTCTTTAAAAAGTGGTACTAGAACCCAGAGATAAGATAAGAATTTAAATCAATGATAAATTGTCTTCATTTTAAAGGAATTATATAATTATGAAATAATTGTTTTATGTTTAACCTGTATAGCTGCTACTTCTCTCTCTCTCTCTCTCTCTCTCTCTCACCCCCCCTTCTTTCCTTCCTTCCTCCCTCCCTCCCTCCCTTCCTTCCTTCTGTATTGGACTTTGAACCCAGGGCTTTCCCACTGAGGTACATCCTCAGCTTTTTTGTTTTTCATTCTGAGACAAGGTCTCAGTAAGTTGCTAAATTGCCCAGGGTGGCCTTGAATTTGCTATCTTCCTGCCTCAGTCTCCCAGAGTGCTGAGATTACAGGTATGTGCGCTGCCATCCCTGGCTTATTATTTCATTAGTTGTATCCATTGCATGGTTTCTTTATCAAGTAAAATATAAGAACTTTCTTTTTTGAATTTTCTTTCTTTTTACTTTGTATTAAATTCTTTTATTGGTACATTGTAGGTATACAGCACAATTACATTTCTTATTGGAAATTGTACCTTCACATAATGCATCTTGGTTCATATTTTTTCCCCATTCCTAGCCCTCCCTTCACCCCCTCCACCCTTCCCTATTTACAAAGACTTTATTTCCATTTTTTCCATTTCTCAGCATTTTTCCTTTCCCTTCTTTCCTTTCCCCTGCGCCTCCCACTACCCCTACCCCTTTGGACCTTTTCTTCCTATTTTACATTATCGATTATTCATTCTAATCATTGGTACATTTTCGGTATACAATATAATGACATTCATCATTGGAAATTTGCACCTTTACAAATTCCATCTTGGTTCTTATTTTTCACCCTTGCCCAGCCCTCCCTTCAACCCCTCCATTCCTCCTTATTTACAAAGATTTTGTTCCTATTTTTCCATTTTCTCATATTAATCCCATTCCCTTCTATCCTTGTACTTCCTTTTTGATAAGAGTCACACAATTTATTTTACTAAACTATTTTACATGGATTTTGTTGAAAGTTACTTTAAAACATTTTTTGGAAAACAATGCTAATAAACTCAATAATATCTTTGTACATAGGGCCAATAATATTTCTTAAGGACAAAAAAGAAGGAAGAAATGTTCATACTGCTTTCAAAAATTTAAATGTCTTTAAAACTTGGTGAGGGACTTTGGAACAAAACCTAACACATTATCTATATCAGTTGTACCAGTGTACCTGAATTATAACTATCATTCCCTCATTCATTAATAGAGAAGATCTCTTGTAGAAATGTACACATCCCATATTAATGAAGAAAAGGAGCTGATTTACTCTTTATGAAAGGAAAGCAATTATCATTTAGTCCAAAGAATCAGATAGTTTTACTTCCCGACTATTATCTCCATCAGCAACTAATGAAAATGTAATACACGTTAAAGGCATCAGCAGGAAATTTGTTTACAAACTGCGTGTGTTGTGTCCACCTCACTTTAAATAACATATTCTGGTAAAATGACAGCTAAAACCAAGTCCTTTGGGATGATTTACAATGAGGAATAGATTCCGTTTTAAAATTTCCTTATGCTTCAATAATTGTCAACAGTGAAATAACAGAAAAGCAAGTAGAGAGCCTATTTGAGAAAGAAGTAAATGAACGTATCTAAAAAGAACTTTAAAGCATCCCTCTATTTATTTAAAATATTTGCTTTGGTTTCTCTTCCACTTGTTTGAAAAAGTGTTGAGAATATATCCTCATGAATGTTATGTTCACAATAGAAACAGTAAGAGTTTTCTAGCCAATTAAAATACAATAAAAAATTTTAAATTAGACATTGCAGTAAAAACTCTTAATGCTCAGTTAACCAGAAAATCCAATCAACCACACATTTTATTTCTGCCACATACCATTTTTTTGGCTTTTAATATTACATTTTGTTTTCTCCTTTGTGGTAATTACCAATAACTATAATGAGTATCTTTCATTAAAATAATTTTCTATGGCTTGACTACTTTGATTTATTCCTATATAGAGTCATGTAAAATTAAGGTGATTTTTATAATTATGGTTTTATCTATTCCAACAAACTCATGAGATTATATCCTCTAACCACCCATATTTTTCCATAAACCTCAAATTGGACTAAATAAACTTGTCAGACTTGAATTTACTTCTTCCGCCAATAGATTCTAAACTTTCTGACAGCCAATTTACCTATCAAATCCCAACTCTATTTTAGTACATGATACAAAATAGCCCTTAAAAGAGATTTACTGAATGAATGTATTTGATGAATGAATTAATACATGAAGCTCTCTCTTAGTATGTAATAGGACTGGGGTTCTTTTGCAGAAATTTACACAATTAGAAAATACTTTCATGGCTAATGAAGACATCAGGTAAAACATCATTTTGAATAGAAGACATATTTGAAAGTCCATGTATAATCTGGGGCTGGAGTTTAAGTAAATGAGATTTATAATGATGTAAATAGTTGTTCAGCAATCTACTTCACTTAGGTACTAACTTCATTGGTAAAGCTGAAGCCCTTTGAAATTATTATTTTGAGGTTTTTATTATCAAATAACATAGACACAGGACTATTAGAGTGGACAACAGTGTCAAAGCACTTCAGGATTTCCTGGAGGCATTTTTAATCTCTTGGAGAGATTTTTAATACCTTGGAGAGATTTTTATTTTTTTGCATGTGCTTGTAAGTCTTCTGAAGCATATGCTTGTATTGAAGATGATCAAGATGAAAATTATAAAATAACACAACAAAGTAATTATGATTTTTGTGTGGCATACTTGCTACAGGCTCTTTCTTCCTTGACTGAGACTCTCCTTGTTGTCCTTCCCATTAACATCAGTGTGGAACTCATCTCCTGGGTCTACTTTCCTTTCCATTCATTCTTCAAGCTGTTTCAATCTAGTTTCTGTGCATACAGCTTCATTAATATTCCTTTCATAAAATCCATGTTATTAAATATAACAGATGAATACACTCTAATCCTTCATAGTATTGTAGTCTATTCTTCTATGTGGTTTTACTTTCTGCTGTTTCAGTTACTACAGTCAACTGAGGTGCAAAGTATGAAATGGAAAATTCCAGAAATAAACAATTTATAAGTTTTAAATCGCACAACATTGTGAGACTTACTTGAACACAGGCACTGTGATGCAATGACAGTTGATCTGATAAATGATGTGGCTGTGAAATGACTAATGGCTGGATAGTATACACAGCAGGGACAAAGTGATGACTCACATCCTGGGTGGGATGGAGAATGATTTCATCAGGCTATGCAGGCAGGCTTCCTGGGGATCTGGGTAGAAGTTCAGTAGAAATCTAATGCTAAAGCACAAGGCCTATGTCTTTGGCCTCATTTTATCTGATCACATACAGAGTGTATCATTCCATGTCATCACAAGCCAGACGAGTACAGCACAGCACAAAAGATACCTTGAGAGACATCACATTCACATATCTTATTACAGGAAATTGTTATAATTATTCTATTTTATTATTATTAGGGCTGGGGACTTAGCTCAGTGGTTCTGCTGCCTGCCTCGCAAATGGAATGTCTCAAGTTCAATCCCTGGTACCAAAAATATATGTATATTATTATTGTTAATCTATTACTATGAATAATTTATAAATTCAATTTTATCATAGGTATGTAGACATAGAAAAATATATACACATCTCAGTACTCTCTTGGGTTTTAGATACTCACTGGGAATCTTGGAATGTAGTTCCCACAAATAAGTAAGGCATACTGTATTTGGCTTCTTAATAGCATTTGACACCAAGAACCTAGAAATAAACTCTTATTTTGGAAAAAACAACACGTTGTCCTGGCGTTTTGCCTGTGTCTCCAGCCTCAATTTATCAATATTCATTGTTTTATCCTTTACTTCATTCTCTTTTAGAGTGTTGAAGCCTTTGGGGTTCTAACTTTATTATTTCTTTTGAACAACCTATGAGGTATCTTGCCACTCCTAGCACTTCCAACATGGCGGATATGTTGATGATTCCCTTGTGGGTATTTCTACTTACCTATTAGCTATTTCTCCTTAGGACTGTGCATTTATTACCAAGAAATGCATATTTATTTTAGACTGTTTGTCCAACCACAGCTCCTTCTCCTCACCCAACAGCAGCTCCCTTTGTAGTATTAATCCTAATGCATCACACAGCATACATCATGTTGGAGTCCCAAACCTGGGTGTTGTCTTTGACTTTTCTCTCTTATCCCATTATCCAAGTGAATTCTACAGATTCTACCATAACAAAACAGCAGTGATAGTTTTCACTTCTCTCTTCCAGTATCACTCAGGTCAGTCTTATCTCTATTCTTTTGTTTGGGTTATGTAAAGTTTAAACTGAAGTATTTTCTTGAACTTTCTTCTCTCAATCTGGTCTCACACTTTAGTAATCTTTCTAAAATGCAAATATAGTCATG